GTTAAAAAATAAAAATATCAAAGAGAAGATAAATCTGCCGTAATAAGCTAAAATAACTTACCTCTCTATATGTTTTTTAAATATATTTTTGTAGATTTTTCGATTTGTTTTAGTATTAAGTATTATCAAAAACTTTACTAATAATATTTACTGCTTATTACTACATCATGTAGATAAATTATGGCACATACCATATATAATATCATATGGCAATAATTAGACTTAATGTCATCCAGTCTCTTTTTAGCCTTCTACGGCTATATTGAATGAGTTCGTATGTCAAAGCAGATTATCTTAAAAATTGAATTGTTTTGATACGTGGTCGTGAGGGTCGGCATTTGAAGGTATTTAATATTTCTAAAATGCAGATTTTATATTTTTTACTAAAGATACTTGTTTGAAAGTATTTCTAATTCGAAAACTATTTAATTAAACTCCAATAGAAAAAAAATGGATTCTACTCTCTATGCAGTTCACAAGAAAATAAGTAATGAAGTAGTAACGTGTGGGTTTCACATATTATTATTATTAAAAAGACACAGATTTATTACTAAAAAGTCTATTACTTGGTGCACTGTTCCATGAATTGGTTACTCTTGAATATTTAGCCTTACCTTGCCTTTCTCTTGTCTTTTTACAAAGCCGTAATGTATACATGATCGTATTCGATAGAGGATTTAACTTTCTCTGCTTTCTTATCGGAAAGAAAAAGTAATCGGTCATTCAAAGCCTATCAAAGTTTTAAGTATCGGGCGAGAGATCTAACATTTTTTTTTTTTCAGTTATAAATTTAAGTTTCTCCACCTTCAATATTTCCAGCCCAGAGACCAGTTCGACGTACACAGCTAACTTCAAGCTCATTCCTAATCCGAAACTCAGGAAACCTACATTTTCGTTAACCAATTCATTTCTAATAGCCCGTTTCACATTCTTGTCTACCAAAAATTCAACATTCCGTCAAAATATCTCAATGATAGCGTAATTAGCGCTATAAATCCCTCCTGGGCAGCCTTGGTGATCGCAATTATACGTTAAAAGATAACTATTAAAGATAACTATAATTGCTGGCTTTCACGCAGGTTTTTAATTGCATGAAAAGAAAACAGATTATTGAAAAGACATAGATCAATCAATAATGTATAAGAAAATTTACCTCAATCATCTTCATGCTGATTTTTTTTTTCAAGTAAAAGAAAAAAGTTTGACTAGTTATGCACCTAAGCAAACACTGATGAGACGAAATGTATTTAATACGTATTTTTTTTTTAAGGTTCAGATAATTAAATTTAACTAACCAATCACACTAAAAGTTGATGGTAAGATAACGTAACGAGTAAGGCCGTTAAATCCGCTCAAGTGAATCAAGGACTGGAATGAGGTTGATGGGACGATGCAGGCCGTGCCTTCATCAGAATACTCCTCCACCCCTCCCCCCTCCATCCCGGTCCTATTTAACCCTGCTGCGATCCTCCCGTTCCAACCGAACACCCTTCAGGATGGAACTCGTTCCGAACCATGCTTGGATTAAGATGTCGAGGGAGCCCTTATCAGATGGGACTTAATTGGACCCATATGGAACTGCACAGCTCTTGCAGCGTGCTTATCTCTGCCCTGGAAGAGTACACGGTTATCTGGAGTGTCTCCGAGGGTAATCTGCTCTGGAACACATTAGCATAATGGCCAGTGCAGTTCGGTACTTCAATTGCAACAGTAACGGTCCAATATACTCTCACTGTTAATTAGTTGTCATCTGGATATATTATTCATTAATGAGACAAATTGGTAGTAGTATTGCGGAATATTTCGGATAACGAAGTGGGTCTTTTAGGGTTTTTCCTTCTGTTTTACTTTTTTTTTTTACAGTTCAAGGCTTAACACCAGCGGTAACTTCGGTTCTGAACTTTTTATTTAGCATTACTTAAATTACTTTCTTCAACTTTAACTGCTTCTCTTTCTCTTCTTTAATTACTTTTCCCGCCACAAAAGTTACCTGAATAAAAGATGAAGGTTATAAATTCTCTATTGCGTTTTTCTCATTCCCTTTTTTTATTTAGATGAGTTGGAATTTTACGCATACAATTTCGGAATGAGGATTTGAAAAAAAAGTTCTTTTTCGTTTGAAAGGCCGTTAATTTACTGGAAGGAAATTATTTTGTTTGATATTAAAACCAAAATTACAATTGTTATTAGTTTTGAGATCTAAAAGTCAAATCCACACCGACGGCTTATTTCTAGATTTTTAAGTTGAGTTTGCTAAAATAGTAATGTGTTGTAACTAATCGTGGCCTCAATAACTTTGAAAAGGTTCTAACCGTTTTTACTATAATTTTGAGAAACAGAGCTTCAAAGTACGATTTACTGCAGTATGAATATTTTGTTACTTAGCCCAACAATTTTTGTATAACTTAATTTTCCTTTGTACTTAATTGTAATTGTAAAGCTTTGAACTTAATTTTCCATTAGTTGATGCCTTAATTGTACCACTTATTATTATAATTTTCAATATTGAAATTTTTCAGTTAGAACTTGGTCATTCTTCAGTTCAACTTGTCGTTCCAAAATGCATTTTCGTGGTGAGACAAGGTTTTACGCTTCATGGAGGCCACGAATAATCGAAAATTACTTAAATAAGTATTACATAAAAATACTCGTACTCTGATTTTTATTTTTAACGATTAGATTTATTAAATTACTTTATCATTTTTAAGTTAAATAAAATCGGGGTTATTTATTTCAGAAGCAATACTCAGCTTTGAAATCATTGTTCATGTTGTTATAATCAAAGAAAAAAAAATACATATATATTTTTTTTACAAAATAACACCAAAGTAAAATTTAAAAATGTGTTTCAGCGTTGATATAAAGTGGCACTTCCGGTTAGCCGATTTTGAGGAAAAAGTTTCTTTCACATCTAAGGTATATACGTATCTTAAATAAGTAATATCAGTTTCGTATGCCTTTTTGTTTTTGAGCTAGACTGCTAACATACAAACACTCAGAAACACAGACCATTTTTCGGGGCTTGGTCATTTCGACTCAGGGTACCTCAAAACGTGTATTTCCGTTGAATACTCAAATTCAAAAATTGCCTCGATCGCAACACTTACCCTTACAATATATTACATATATACGTAAGTGAAAGTAAAAAATGATTCTATTCATATAATAATCTAATGAACACTACATTTTTTTTATCTTTTAAAATTTTAGTATAATATAATTTTTAGTGTTTTCTCTAAAATAATTAAAATATCACAGAAGCCGTTTCTGAAATAACCGTTTCAAACATGTTATACAAAAAAGAAAGTTCTTTAATAATAATATAAATGTTCATGCTTACCACTCTTTAAAATTACTGAAAACCAAGTACAGCTACGTGGTAATGTAGTGTCAAACCCTCTACTTTCAAAAGTTGTCAGCAGTTAGAATTAAATCTCACTGCTAGTTTCTTTTTTTTTTTTTTCGACTTATGGGGATAAAGTTCATTTAGGGCATATATAACTGTGTTGTAAGTGATTTCTAAGTGAAAACTCAATTTACCTGCATTTGCTAAAAACTTTTTCAAGGTCACGTAATGCTCACTGATTCACTTTAATACTTGTGTTTGTGCCAAAAATGGTTTGAATTTCCCGCGTTAAGGCGAGTGGTGGGGGCAGATCAGAGGATCTAAAAGATAACACTTAAGCCTCAAGAGCTGCTGGTTTTCTCGGTCACTTCTTCATTGGCAGTCACGGAGACAGCACCAACAACAGCATCTGAGGGCCCTCCAGGTAACCATAGGATTGTAACCTGGCATAAAGACGGTAAGCTATTTTCTGCACACCAGCATAACCTACCAATGCATTAAAATACAGTCCACTGCACAAAATTAGAATTTTGCCCATAATTTGAATGTTACCTATATTAAAACTCATTAGAGTTATTTGCCTTAATTAGAAAAGATGCCCCAACAACTTGTAACGTGTTGAGTTATAATTTGACAATGTTTCCTATGTTTAATACTGTTCATGCAACAACAAAAATAATAATTAAATTAAATATAAATATTGAAATAACCCAATTCATCCAAAAGAAAAATACTTGCATATACTTGCATGTTTATTCAAGTACCCAGGTACATTGTTGTTTATTGACATCTACATCTCTGATATCCCTTCACTAGCTAGGGTAATTGAGGAATATTACAACTAGGTTTGGTAGTGGGTTGCTTTCCACCCCCGAAAGAAACTCGAGACTTATTTGGATATTGATATACACAGGTATATGGATTCGAAATATACTTACCTGAAGCCGTAAAATATAGTAAACAACGACTATAAAAATTTAAACATCGTAGACATTAATTTCTAACAGTCTACCGAGGTGTTCAAGCTGATAATGGAAGTATGTTCCCTTAGGATGGGCAAGATTATGTCAGAAATTGTTTGAATATATATATATATATATATATATATATATATATATATATATATATATATATATATATATATATATATATATATATATTTATTTATTTATTTACAACTTATATTCAACACATAACATCAGGAATATACCTAATGTGATATGAAATAACCAAACATTTGGGAATACTGAAATTGAAAATAAAATTGAAAGTGGTTTTACAGTAGTTCGATGACAACCAACACGTTTAATTTCCTTTAATTTCTGCTTTCATATGGGAAATTTGTTATGAAGGAATTAAAATATGTCATCTATCGGTATCCATTCAGAAACTTATGCGTATATCATTATTTCAAGTATATCAATGTTTATTATAGATTATTTAAATAGATTACATTATTTTTTTATTACTTTTCTTTTGTTTGTTTTTTTCAGAGAGACCTGTTCCAGGGAACCTTGATGATATCCTCCCAATTACCTCCGACTACCCTAACCCAGGGGTGACGTTGCCAGCTGAAGCAACTCCCCGCTGGCGTTAAATCGAGAAGACCCCAACTATTAGTGAACAGCTGTTGCACCCAATTAGCCCTATGTCTCTATTCCTGGCCAGCAAGATCTGTCACAGTTCCCCTTTCTGATGTGACAGTATGCTGTTCATCATCTGCAGTGGTATTGTCGGGGTGATGTATCGTCTTCAATGCAGCTGTCGGTGTCTTCCAGCTAACGAAGAAGATCCACAGCAGAGTGTCCACAAGTCTCTTTAAATTCAGTTTCTTCATCAGCCTCAATGAAGATGATGAGTACCCATGTCTGCAGAGAATTACCTTTAGTACGAAGCCTTAGTATATGGGAGAAATGCATTAGTATGCGTACCCCACTTTAATGTAGGAGAATGGAGTGAGAAGAATGCAACAACTTCCACAATTTCAATATTTGGTGACTTCTGAGAAGAAATATAGGTTGATAGAAAGATAAGTTTCAAAGTTTTATGGAAGGGAGAAGAAAGTAAACTAAAAATGCAGTTTCTTGTCTTCATAGAACATTAAATCTTTGATCGTCCAACCAAATGGTACATTGTTGTTGTACATTGTAACATTCGTTGTGGAAGTGGTTTCCGATTCGTTAAATTTCTAGCGATCCACCTTAATGAGAAAGAAATCATGTACACCAATAGATTAAGAGGATGTGACAGTATGCTGGCAGTAACAATAACAATATGACCGTAAGAAGGGGATAAAATCTGGAATAAGGTTATTCAATGTAGTTAAAAGAAAATCTGGTGTGTCCACTCACACGACTTTCCTACCTATTTCAGAAAAGTTTTTATATCTTTACATATGTTCATGAAGAAACAAAAAAGAATTGAACTGGATACACTTTCCTGAGAATTGATCAAACACAAGATTTGAGTACGATTTATTTGCTAAACTAAAGCAATGTAAACCGGCTTAAGGTAGATCAGTGTAAAAATTTCAATAACCTCTAATATTGATGATCAATATTTTGGCATAGCTTAGTATTGACAAACAATAATTTCTGTTGAAAGTATAGGGAATAGTGAAGGTTGTGTAACAGATTTTCTTGTTTTCACTTAGTCATCTTTATTCTCGCATTCACCCCTTCCTGACGCCAGGCTATGAAACCGTAACCTTACATTGGAAATTGAATAGCTGTAACTTCGTTAATAGTTGTCCAAAACGAACGATTTTTATATGGCTTTGTAGGAAATTGCATTACCTTTCAATGAATGCATGTCGGAAATTTGACCCGATTGCAATACTTTCCTTACCTAGCACCGAATTTCTGTCACAGCCATCAGTAGTCGAAACCCTACAAAATAAAAAAAGAAGCAACAAAATCGGTTCAGTAGTTCCCGAGAAAATCTTGGCACAGACAGACAGACAGACCAATGGCAAAAATGGATTTTTCGGACTCAGGAGGCTCTGAAACGTGTAGATCCGTCGAAAACCGCATGTCGGAAATTTAACCCGATTGCAATACTTTCCGTACCTAGTATAGGTAGGAAAGTAATAAAAACAAAAATCAACGTTTCTCCTCACATTGAAATCCTGGATATTCTCTGTGAAGCAAAGAAGTACGTTTTAAAAATGAGCTTCAGAAATATGGTTCAACAGGAAAAAGTACGATAAAATTATTACTAAAAAAAAACTATTTTAAACAAAAAGTAAAATACGATTTTATATATTTTCTGAATATATACAATACATATTTTGGACATTCTTCGATAAAGGAATAGAAATGTATAACTTTTTATAATTTCTAAGTAACTGAAACTTTAAGCTCACTTGCATAACAAGCCTTGTTGCTTCCCATCTTCAAGTGATATATTTTAAATCACGATTCCTTCTGAAAATAAAATTAATATTAGTTAATGTTCAATGTTGCTGTGATTTTTTTTTTAAATCTTAAATTTCTTTTAAATGAAATTAAATTTAGGTAATATAGACATTAATTTATTAGAAAACAGAGGAACAATATGTTATGCGTATCTCATCTATGTATAAGAATAAGAATAAAATTCATTGCATAAGAATGGAATAGAAAAGGTAACCTTGTTTTTATTATTCATAAAAAATAATTGTGAACATATGATCTATTATAATAAATTATTAACTAAAAATTCAGTATATCTGTTCAATTTCAACATATTGAAATGACATACACATTTTTTGCAGTTTGATGTATAATTCAGAGGAGGTTGGGGATTAAGTTAGATTTACCTGGAAGAGAGATAGTGAACAAATTGTGCTGTCAGCATCAACTCACTTTGCCATTGCCGCTACTACATCGGCTTCTCTCTTTTAAATTTTTATTCAACAGCTTTCAAATACAGACACTCTTCAATTCTGTCTGCGTTTTAATATTTCCTATGTTCGCAAAGGCAGGTCTTGCTTTATCGAGCTAAGTTGTTTATCATAACTTTTTTCTTATTCTTTCAACTCCTTTCCTTCGGGAATACACACTGAAATACCGAATAGATGATGTATTTAGACCTACTGATCCATTCAGCTAACACAAAATGGCTCCCAAAAACTAGCGGCACCGCTACAATTTTTAAAATTATTTATTCATGATATTTACAACTGTAATATAAATAAATCTAGTAAATGTGTATACAGGAATATAATCACATGAAAAGATTTGTTGAGGAACTAGCCACTGGTAACACTCTAATAATATGTCTACATAAAGTGATCACGAGGTAATCTTCTTTTCAGACGCCTTGGAGGGTTATCAGGAATAGAAGAGGAAGCAAGGTTGCAACAGAGGGTTCGGATGGTTATGAAGTGTATTATGGAAAGATAGGTATCTGGATTGGGCCATACCGACAACATGCGGTACATTAAGGTCATTATGGATGATTTTATTTGTTACAAAGTAAGGAGCATCGAGCATTTTACAAAGGATTTGGTATTGTAAGGTTTGGATACGAGAGGAAACGATGGTTTAGTGGAGAACTAATGCTAAATTATGTAAGTCCAAATAGGCCTTATTTTAGTCATACTTATGAGTCTGTTGTAATTAAGTGAAAGCTTAGAGTTTTTGTCTAGTAAGTGTTGGAGTAGTCTGAAACATCGAGTAGTTTCTTGTCGTTTTAGTCTTGTATGAGGATTCCCAGTGAGACGTTTGCTCAGGTGGAGTCCTAGGTATTGGATTTGTTTTACAGGGATGTGGAGTATTATTAAAGGGTACTGTTGGAAAGGAAGTAATGGGCTTACGAAGAAGAGAAAAGGTAATTTGAGGAAGTTTATTGGAATTAATTTTAATCATCCAGTTTAACACCATTCTTCAAGGTTTGTGATGTGTGATCGAAGAGTTTGCAATACAATCATCACTAACTGATAGGACGTATGTGTCATCGGTATACGTCCTCTAAAATTTAAAACTTAACTTACTAAGGTGGGGTTCTAATCCACAACTCACCGTTTCAGAAGGGTTGTCTACGTTGCTCATAAAGTTTTCACCACAGAAAACGCATTTTTCGAAGTATTTTTTAAAGTTTAAATATACAGTGCTTATTCTAGAAGGAGGTGTCTTATTATAGAGTTTTATTTTATTCTTTAATCAAATGTTGTATTTGCAACCGCGACTTCACATTGTTGATGTCATGTCGTATAATTTTTTTTCTTAAGTCTTAAATTAACAGATGGTTAGTGACTTGGAGCTTGGATTGTCCTCGTCCTCAATTGTGCTGTCAAGAGTTAAAGTTGCTTCGGAGAGTTAAAAGAGTCCTTTCTCTTTATGGACTGATGTAATAAGCAATGAAATAATAAATAAAAACAGAATTAATACAATACTGTTTAATATTTTTTTACTAAACAATTAAACATTCCTAGTTACTTCATTAAAACGTTTATTCTTTTTCAAAATAGTTTAATTTTCTTATTTTCAATGTATAAATAAAAGCATAGAAAATCAACATTTCTTACAGTGCTCTCATAATTTTACCAGAACATACAAAATACCAGCTTGAGAGCTTGTACATGAGTCCGGGCAAAATTTTTCGTAATTACATGCCCTTCGAGAATCTCCGTGAAATTCAATTTTACGTAGTAAAATATAACAGTAAAAATGTGTAAAATCGATGATATAAAGCGGTACGTACGGATAGCCGATTTTGACGAAAAAGTTTCAAAACCCCCGGCATAAACCTTTAATACGCAATTCCTGTTGCGTGCGTCTTTTCGTTTTTGAGCTAGACTTTTCACACATACAAAAACAGAGATCATTTTGCGGGACTTGGTTATTTTGAGACCTCAACACATGTATCTCCATTGAAAATTCAGATTCGAAATTTTCTAAGACCTCAATATTTTCTTTACTATAAATTTATATTTATTACATGTATAGGTATGTGAAAGTAATAACTTAAAGATTAGTAACTTAAAAAAATACAGAAATACCTATATAAAATATTTATAATCAGACGAGGAAACCCCAAGCCAGGCTTATCCCTTCAACTATAGAGGGAAAAGTAGGACTTCAGGAGATCCCTATGATCTCAACCACGCCTGTGGTGCTAAACCCAGTGGAGATAGAGCGAGAACGCTATAGCCACATACACTCATGCCTTCAATGGAGAATCTGGTCATTGGCAGAACTCTAATAAATATACATACTACAAAAGATCGGGGGCAATTGCCATATTAACCTTCTTAAAGGATTATATGGATGTGTGGTGTTAGATAGGGATTTGGACGATACGTAAGGTTTTGGTGAAAGTATGAGTTGGGTTTTGTTGGTTACATAAAATGGAGCATCAACTATTGTTCGAAGGACTTTGGCCGAAAGGATTGGATGCGATTGAAGTTAGAAATTTTTTCTGTCTCTAGTCTTTAAGGATTTGTAATTGAAATACAATTTTAGAAAGGTTTGTAAAGGACAATGAAGGCAGATTGTACGGAAAGCAGTTGCTATAGGGAGATTGTGTGTTACTATAGACATGTGTAACAAATATAGGACTTGGTATTTCTTGTAATACGTTGCACGGTCCTTATTGGATTATGTTTAAAATTTTAATGCTCCTTACGTTGGCCGTAACTTAATTAATTTAAACAAGTACTCGTTGAAAAACACAATATGTCCCTAGTTCTAGAAAAGGAGAATAATACCATTACACCATTGAAGTAATACTAATAAAACTTTCACTGGATGTCCAATCAGCTTGTATACTTTTAATTAAAACAATAGTATGATATAAGAAAGGATCTACTTAGTGCTGTTGCTACAGGCATGTATAGCAAATATAGAGCCAAGTATTTCTTGCACAATAAATACATACTGCCTTAACGGGATTATAATTAAAATTTATGTGTTCCAATTAAGCTGAGTAACTGACCTACATCCCCGGCAATAATAACTAAGGGTTGTTAATCAACCTTTCCGCAGGTTGCACAATCAACCTACACCTCTTCAAGTATTGAACTACTTAACCTGTTTGCTCTCGAGTCCAGTCCGAATCTCTTCTCTCTCTGTTCTCTCTGCAATCTCGTTCGTTCCTTTCCAGAAACGAGTTAATTATCTCGAAAGAGATAATTAGTCTGGTACTTTTATTATTGATTGTTAGAAATATATTTATTTATTTATCCACTGTTTTTTTTTGGTTTGTTAATTTTTTATTTTATTTTTATTTACAACCAGCGAATGTTATTCAAGCCTTTGCTTTCATAACTTACAATTTAACATTTTCCGGATTTAAGTAAAAGAAAGAATATTACATTAGGGGGGAAAATACTATCTAAACATAAGATAAAATAAAACAAACTTATGTCATTATTTATAAAAGTACAATAAAGCATGCTTTAATCGTTTATGCTCTTTTTTTTTTTAATCTCCTTCCCTCATACATTAACCCGGTACGAAAGACGGGGTGATACATTTCTTTATGTATCAATTAAAGGAAGTATTATAATACTTATAACTTACATGATTACAGTTATAATATTAAATTCGTTTTTTTCCTTATGAATCACATAAAAAATATATATAAAAAAACATAAGATAATTATAAAGAAACTAAAACAGAGAAAATATAATTTTAAAATATGTTTTGTTATAATTTGGAAAAAATCCAAAACAAACAGCCGTATGTTTCCAAAATGCAGGCAAAGAAAACCAACCTGCCAACGTTCGTTTTGCCAAACCAATTCAAGCATCATCAGAACAGAAAGGAACAGCTAATCGAATATCAACTCCATGAAATCCAAACGCATCGTCAAATGATATGTTAATGATATAAAATGAAAGAAATGATTATGCGTTTGAATGTTTGGATGCAGTGATGTTTGATTAGAATCATTAATTAATTCGATTAATCATTTTTATTTTTTGATATCACTATCATATCATTGGAGTATTTCATTGAGTGATATTCGATTAGCTGTTCCTTTCTGTCCTGATGCCTGAATTGACGAAACGTTGACAGAATTGTTTTCTTTGCCTGCATTCTGAAGACATAAGGCAGCGTAGTTTGGAATTTTTCCAAATTATAACCTAATATTTATGTTCTGTCTCTTGATTAGTTTTTTACTAATACATATTGCTAAACAAAATATCTAAAATAAGATTATTAATCACTACATTCTTCTTAGAGGAGTTGGAGAACAATTTCTTCAATCTTTTAAGCTTATATTTTTGATATAACGAATACATCGATGGAGTGATTTTCTATTGTTTTTATGTGTTCATAAGGGCTGTTGATACTGGATTCAAAGCAATATGAAGCGAGCTTGTAAAAATAGTCTTGGATTTTCTGAATACCAAAAACTTCAAGCACGTGCATTATTCAGGCGATCCACTGGTGTATTCATTTATATCATCGGTTGCAAAACGTCGGGAACAAGGGGAGGGATACAATCAGTGAGTTCAACGAAATTATTCTCTTTGATGCTACATAGAAAAATATTGGACACATATATCTCGGCCACGGGTAAAAATAAATAACACAAATTTTGTTTCATTGTTATATAATTTATTTTCTCGGCTCTTATGGCTCATCGGAACGAACGGCGGATTTTTCGATGTAGAGTATCTCAGAAAAAACTTT